TTTAATTAGGGATAAGTCAATAATTGCTGTTTATTTACAGATATGACAGCTGGCATGTCAGTTAACTGCTAGTAGTCTGTTGTTATTTATGTATTATTGTCATTTTGTTTATTTTCTTTGGTTACATCTTCTGACATCAGACTCGGACTTCTCTTGAACTGAATTTTAATGTGCGTATTGTTATGCGTTTACTTTTCTACATTGGCTAGAGGTATAGGGGGAGGGTTGAGATCTCATAAACATGTTTAACCCCGCCGCATTTTTGCGCCTGTCCCAAGTCAGGAGCCTCTAGCCTTTGTTAGTCTTGTATTATTTTTAATTTTAGTTTCTTGTATACAATTTGGAGTTTAGTATGGCGTTCATTATCACTGAACTAGTATATATATTTGTTTAGGGGCCAGCTGAAGGACGCCTCCGGGTGCGGGAATTTCTCGCTGCATTGAAGACCTGTTGGTGACCTTCTGCTGTTGTCTGTTCTATGGTCGGGTTGTTGTCTCTTTGACACATTCCCCATTTCCATTCTCAATTTTATGTAACAACTCTTTTTCTTGTGTAATGTTTATTTTTCACCTTTTTCATACTTATCTCTTTCTTATCCAATTTTAAATAAGCAAACAGCGGGATAATCCGTGGTGTTTAGAGTGGAGTAATAAAGGGGGTATAATAATAAGTCCCCATGACAGTTGAGTGTTATTTTTATGTTATAAGGTTAACAAGATTTTAGTCAATAGTAAATAAAAGGATTACTTAAAAGGTTGTAACGGTTTATCTAAATATACAGTTAGATAGATAATGGAGTAATGGTAACGGTATTTATTTATTATGTTAAATTACGGTACTATAGATGTCCCTAATTTTTTCAATGGTTTTTTGTATTTCTGGAAGTGAAAAATCTATTGGCATAGAGTATAAATATAAAACTTTCATCAAATAACATTTTTTTAATCCTTATCCGAATAAAATGGAGATATTTTATACATTTCTGGCTATCAATCTAGTTTCGAAATTACTGGTTGTATACACACACATCTTAGGCCATTCTCTCAGATAATTTACAATCGTAATTAAAAAATTATTAAGGATAGAATTTGGGATTATTTTTCATAAATACAATTTCATGAATTTTCTGAGAAACTAACGAGAAAGCAAAACTGTCGAAAAAAAGTTACAGTTAGAAATTTTAAGAATTAAAAGTTTTAATTTTAGAAAAATATATATTTTATAAACTATGACTTCTTAACCGAATGTATATTACTTTCTATAGTCACTTCTGTAATTTTTATTATGATGATCTGGGTATTTCGGAAGAACTGAAGCCACAAAGTCTCTTCTGCCTATTTCGCCATTTGGCAACATCCGGTAAGCTATTTGATAATTCATATATGTCCACAAACCACTAAGGTACCGACAGCAAACGCGAACAACTACTGTCTGTTTGCATTGGACCACATTTTGTATACTTAAAGATATCGTTGTAGATACGGTGATAAAATTAAGACAGTTTATATATAAAGGACAAATTGAAAAGATTCGTGTGACAGATATTACTTGTTATAGGATAAATGTTGTTGACTCTTTGATAAGTTGAATAAAGTTTAGATAGTGAAAGGGAAGATATTATGCATATTAAGAGAGACATAAGAACTTGGGGGTATGTTTTGATACAGGTTTTGTTTACATACGAGCTTCGGGTAGAAGAGGATGGGGTTATTGGCTCCAGTAGTAAGAATTCTTTTGTGTAGTTAATGGGATATTACTTGCTTCTTTTTGGATATTTTCTTCTTTATTTTTTTAGGTAAGTTTCCTAGGCGATAAATTGTTGATATATAAAACTGTACACATAAAGTTTTATAAAGTAATAACCTGTGTGATAAAAATAGTAAATAAATTGTACACAATGACTTTCATACAGAAATTATCATAGAAAATTTGAGGTTTACAGTTTCATAAAGCAATGATGTGAAAGAAAATGACCGTCCAGTAATTGTTCAATTAGAATCACTTTGCACCAACCCATTCAAATGTCAATAACAGTCCTCGTGTTTATATTTTTCATTACAGTAGTGTAGAATTTTCAGCAAATGAATTTGAATTTGAACTATCTGCGTTCTAGTTCTATCGAGTGTGCAGGTCTACGTTTGAAATACTGTTCAATAGTCTTAGTATCTCAATCCTTTACAGCCTATTTAATTATAGCATGTATCTCTGCTATTAAAATCTCGACTGTATTAAACTTGATTTATGGATATTCGACTTTTCATTTTTATTTTACGAACATGCTAAAAGATTTTTCGGCATAGAAAGAAGTTTATTGATAAACATATCTACTAATTTACCAAGATTAACTTGTTCACATCTTAATTAATTTCTAAATATCACTTTTTTGCTTACATGAGAACAAGGTGAACGCTTGATTACAAATGACAGCGTATGCCACTTACGACTTACTGGCAAATACAAAACGGCATTGGTTATCGGGTGCTATAATCATTAATAATAAACGAAGAAGAAATATTTGTTTAGAAAACGAAGTATGAAACAAGATCGAATATAGATCGAAAACCGTAGATAAAATTAATATCCTTTAAAGATCAGGTCGAACCAGGGGGAGGTAACTATAATTTCCCGAAATGTTTGTTGTTTTAACAAATGGACTTATGAAATCTGTCGACTGCCTTTCAATAAACGTACAAAAGAGTGTGACAGAGAACTCCGGTGAAGATAATCCGGAACATAAATAAAGTCAGTTTGTTTTGGTCTTGTTAGTACCCCTGCAACATATCCCGAGGGAAAACAGTGTTTTTATCTTGACATTAGAGTTTTGAGTGTTAGGATTAGAAGTAGTTTTTTCTACAATTAACATGTTTTTCTTGGGGTTCGGAGAGGAAGAAATACAAATCTAAAGTAAGTTTTGAAGACATTTGCTATTCTTAATTTGGAAAAAAATAATACTTAATTATATAAAATCTGCTTTTTATTTTGTTATGAATTAAAAACTGTCAACAGATTGAGTAAACCTTTTTTCTTTCAATATTTGTACTGTATTTATTTGACTGATTCGTTTAAACTTTTGATTTGAGCTTGAAATGAGCAAGTGCATTAAATTTCGCGTATAAAAGTGCTTACAATTTATTTTTTCTCTCAATTTCTTATTAATACCTAATAACAAAAATTCAGTATTTTATGTATGTAACGCAACTTCAAGTTATTTTAAAACTGAATCTCAAGGGTAATATTTTTTCCTCATCAAATGGTATTCAAATATCAAGCCAGTTACCCCTTCCCCAAGGACAGCCGCTGAGGTTTACTTCTAGTCATATAATAAATTACGATTTTCATCAGTATGATAATTCCATAATTTAGCACCCCCATATCACCATAGAAATGATCATTTTTCATAATTACAATGAAACTGACAGGTTCCGTTTCGACCCCTATCAAACATTTCTTTGATCCTTAGATTCAATATCAATCGCATGCATTATATATAAGCCAGTGACTGCAACAGTGTGAAGTATTGTCTGACCATCCCTGTGACCAATGTCCACTTTAACACGTTATCAGACAGAATAATTGACCGAGTGAAAGCTTTAATTATTTTTCCCCAGTTCCTTCGCCGTTGTTGATTATTACATCGATATGTTATCATACCTTCATTTAATGCTCATTAAATCAAGAGTTTTTATAAAGCATCCGTGTACTTATGAATCGCCGTGACGGCATGTGGATGTATATTTATAGCTTGAATCTGGATTTTTTTAAATTTTAGGCCTGTTAAGGTAAGGAAATGTATACTTATTTACGCATCAAATCACGTTTAATATATTTTCAATCACTTTGATTAATTTTTTATTGAAAACAGAGATAAATTGAAATCTCTTGTAGGGTAAATTTTGATTTTCGATTTAAAACTCAAAATTACTGCAACAGAAAAAGCAACTGCTTTTATTAACAAGAAATATCATTTCGAAACTTTTAGTACAAAAATTTCTAACAACGAGAGTTGTTATTGTCCACTCCAATCTAAAGATTCGAGTATTGTCATAGCGCTCGTGGAATTTCCATGTTTAAATTAAATTTTCTGAGTTTGAGTTTCACGACTTATTATAGTGATATTTCTTGTATCACAATTTCTCCGTTTTTTGTAAGAGTTTTTTGTTGTTTTTTTTTAAAGGAAAAGAACTGGATGATTTTCATGATGTGTAAATTGAGATGTTTTCGAGAAAAAAAGATATTTTATTAGTTTTCCTCATATTCATACAACGATATCATTTATGCAGGGAAACTGCGAGATTGTGATATCCGGTATCGATTTCCAATCGAATCGTTAGGAATCGGGAGACAGAAATCATATCCGACAAAAAAACGATCTTAAAAGCAAAGTTTGAAAATAGCAACAACAACTTCCTGGTAGAGAAGAGTGTACATATATATAGTGGGATATTTCATTTCGATTCCTTTTCTTCATTTCTTAGACATGGCTCATAAACGATTCTGTTTTTTTTAACTACTTGTTTTTTATTTACAACTTTTAAGACCTTGCAAACATTTAAGGCACTGAGATTAAATATTCATAACAAATATAGAAAAGTGAAATTTTCGAACTAGTTTGTGGATTTTTACATTTTACTATGAATCCTGAAATTATAAATAACAACACGTCATAAAAATATAGTGCATTAAGTGATCATCGAACTTTCATTTTTTTTGTCCTTTTAAGTCGCTGCTAAATCTTTCTATGTGTGTATGTTTCATACGCCTGAGTTGTGAGAAATACATAAATAAGTAAATACATCAATTTAAGTAAGTAAAAAAGGTTCTTAATTTTGGCTCAGCTGTTTCGTACTAAAATGATTAAACTTCAAAATCCATCTGATCCTAATATAATCTTAAATAAAGGCACGAAATAAAAGCAAGTAAGTGAGAAAATAAATAATAATAGTTGTCTCGTTGGCAATCATACCACATCTCCTATTTTTTACTTTTTCATGTTGTTTCAGGGATCAATAATGCTGGCGGACAATTAAAATGAATCCCGGTATTTGTTGTATCCTGCTCTTCTGTATGTATGGCCTGGCTTCAGCAACAGACATTGTGTACCACTTGCTTGAAGAGCAACCGCCACGGACATTTGTTGGAAACGTTGCAGACGACACAAATTTAAGATCAACATTAAATGAAAGTGATTTTAACAGACTTCAATTCGAAATATTAAAAGAGGGAAGCAAATACGCTGACTGGTTCACAATCGACATTAAAAGGGGCCAGTTGGAGACTAGTGAAGTAATAGATCGCGAGAATGTATGCACTTCCCCTCAGTCTTGCATTCTAGGATTAGATATTGCAATTTACCAAGAAGATAAAGTTAATTCACTCATTTTAGATTTATACCAAGCCTTTCGTTTACAAATTATTTTAGACGATTTGAATGATAATGATCCATCGTTTCCGAAGTCCGAACTTAGTTTGACTGTTCCGGAATCTTCCGAGATTGGGTATGTTCTGTTCATAAGCTCAGCGGACGATCCAGACAGTGGTGAAAATAATGGTGTTTCTACTTATGAACTCATAGCAGACGACGATACTTTTACTCTGCAGACACCAGGAGTCGATGGCGGGAATCTTGGCATTGTTGTTAATAAAAACATTGATCGAGAAACGCAAAAGTTTTACCGTTTTCGAGTGGTTGCTAAGGACGGTGGAATCCCAATCCGAAGCGGTAGTGTAATGATAAATGTTACTGTGCTGGATACAAACGATAATTCTCCGATCTTTGAACGTCTAGAATACGCCGTGTCTTTCCCCGAAAATACCCCCGTTGGAACGACTGTACTGAAAGTAACGGCAGATGACGATGATATTGGGGAAAATGGCGAAGTCTTGTATAGATTTAGCGCAAGGGCTTCAGATAAGGTAAAAAACATTTTCGACGTTAATGATATATCGGGTGAAATAAAATTGAAAAAAGACATTGATTATGAAAAAGACAAGTCTTTTCAGTTCACCGTTGAGGCATATGATAAAGGAGCATCTTCCAATAAAGCCCAGTCAATTGTTACAGTTACTATTACTGATGAAAACGACAATTCACCGGAAATACATATCAATATACCACCAAGTGGCTCTGAAATTCCTGAACCAGCTGAAGTTGGTCGATACATCGCTTACGTCGAAGCACAAGATCCCGATAGCGGCGAAAACGGCACTGTGACGTGTACTATTAACAGCGATTATTTCAGACTAGAATCTATTAATACTGGGATGTATAAAGTCAAGCTGAACCGTTTGCTTGACAGGGAAACAGTTCCAGTTCATAACATAAACATTATATGCTCTGATAATGGGAAACCAAAGCGATCTAACACCACCATGCTATCAATTCGTGTATTAGATATCAATGATAAGTTTCCGGTGTTCAATCAATCACATTACGATATAAATGTCCATGAAAACAATAAAATTGGCGATGTTATTGGCATGGTAACTGCGACTGATGAAGATATCGGTGAGCATGCGCGTCTCGCATACCATATAGAACACGATTTTGATGAAGAGTATTTTAAAATCGATCAAAATACGGGTCTTCTCAGTGTAAATAGTGTTTTTGACAGAGAGGAACGATCCTTTTACGAGTTCAAAGTTATAGCAAAAGATTCCGGACAGATTATTCATAGCTCTTCCGCAACTGTTCGCGTTCGAATTGTCGACAAAAATGATGGCACGCCGACGTTTACGGAAGATCGTTATATTTTCTACGTTGAAGAAGGAACGCAGTTTGGAACGGAAGTTGGTAATGTTACCGTGGTAGATCACGATACTGGAGCTAACGGCGAAGTTTCTTTCTTGCAGGATTTTCCATACTCTAATGTTTTTGTAATTGATTCAGCAACTGGGAAAATAACAACAAAAAATATCATTGACCGCGAGACTAATGCAAGTTATATTTTCGACCTGACCGCACAAGACAAAGGAAACCCTGCACTACAAAGTACGACAAGAATAGAAATCTATGTCAAAGATGTCAACGATAATTTCCCGTTAACAAGTTTCCCTACAAATCTAAATAACACTGTATCTGTACCGCAGACAACCACAATTGGAACCATCATCGCAAGAATCAGCGCAACGGACTTAGACGAAGGCGTAAACGCTCAGCTGACGTATCATATTATGCAGGGTGACCAACGTGGAATATTTAGAATAAACAATCTGACAGGTGCGATGATAGTCAATAAACATATCGATGAAAGCGACGCTGGAACATATAAATTGCTGATTGCAGTACAGGATAATGGCATACCACAACGTACCACTAGGACATACCTCGTTCTGATTATTCAGGATGACAATGGCCGACAGAACATGATCATTGCCATTGCCGTGGCAACCGTTACTTTTGCTTTATCAGTGGCGATGATTTTGACTATTTTTGTTATCCGACGACGAGATGTAATGAGAAAGAAACAGAAGGAACTTGAAGTCAAATCTGACAAACAGAACGTCGTTGTCGGATGGTTGAAATGTCTGTCAACATCGCCAAAAGATATTCCGAAAATGAGCATGGGTGAAAAGGTCAAGGACACAAATAAACAGATGGACTATAAGACTGGTACTGATATGCAGCTAATGGTTCCAGACACCGGAAGTACGTCTTCAGAAGACAGCAAATCAATCGGGGTAAGTAATGTATACTAGTTTCTTATTTATTGTTAAAATGGTAACCATGGTAAGCTAAAGTCTTAGAAAGATGCGTTTGTGGACTTTTTTGTTGTCGTTTTCATCTTTTAAAATATTTGTTAGAGGTTTTTTATTTGTGTCAAAGATTGCCGTTATCGTAGATTTCGATTGATTGACTTAGCCACTTGTCGTAACCACAATCCCATCCTCTTTCCTCGATTGTTGAATTACCGAAAGCAACTTATCACTGGATTTTTATTAGCTTGTGCAACGCGACGGCTGCCACATGTGGTGCTGGAACTGCTAACCTTTCCGGAGCACATCAGTTAATCCCTGGTTTTTGTAGAGGTTCTGAAAGGTTTATATAACAAAAAGAACTGGAGCTTGTTCTGTTTCACATTTTTATTGTTACTTTAGCCCATTGAAAGATAAGTTTGACAGATATGTTATTTCAACAATGGTAATTTTATTAAGTATTACAAATCAAAGTAACATTTGACTTTTTATTAACTTTTATTTTTTATAACAAAATACAGTCATCAAATTTAACAACAAAATCAAAGAACTTTGATGTCAATAAATTTTTATATGAAAAAGTTCAAATACTTTATCAAAGAACTTGCGAAGTTCATTTCGACATGAAACTATACATTAATTGTTTTAAATATACTTTCTTTTAAATTTAATGACGAATTTATTCAATTTAAAAATGTGTAACAATTTATTTTCCATATACAAAATACTTGATATACTAAACCATTGTGCCTTGATTACATTTTTGATGACTATTACAAAACCATCATCGATTTGAAAACTTGATTTAAAATAGGTTTTAGTAGAAAAAAAATTTAGATGGATTTTAAAACCGTAAAAATCGGGTTGGGGGGTATTTTAGGGTAAATATGTGCTTGATGCACTATTCGTACACGTGTGCCGAAGTCCGCCTCAGTACAAGTTTAAGGGGATACAGGTCCTCAAAATTATCTTAATATCTTTCGCATGAATTAATTTTGAATTTTCAAACTTTGATCACAAACTTGAAATTTAACAAGTAGCAATTTGATAAACGTTTTGAACTTTCAAATTTCTATTTGAAAAATTTACCTTTAGGGCAGAAAAAATGTGATAAACAAATTGGCTCATTAATTCGACTTTATGATTCTCATTTTTGATGTATCAATTATTTAGAAAAGTGCTAAAACGTCTTAAATTAAACCGATATCATCGTTCTATTCGCATTTAAAAAGCGAATTACTATACAGACGTAGTCAACCGGCAGAACGAGCGCTTACCGAACCATTGATAGCTCTTAACGACGACAAAGGGAAAATATCTAATTATGAGGGAAGCTAAAAGCAGATTCGAAATATGTCTTATTCTGATTATCAAAACCTAATAACTTTACAACACTTTTAAAATATATAGATTTGAAGATCTAATACATAAGCCGTCATAAATCCCAAACCCATATGAGCAAAAATCATTTAAATTCTGAGAGTTTTGATATCTTTGTCGATCAACAACAAAAAGAAATAGAAAGGATTGTGTTCTTTTCAAACCGTCGTTATTGTCTCTAGGATATAGTTTTTGTGATTTATGTTTTTTTGTTTGTTTTTATTGTAAATATTTTGATTCGGAATGCACATATATTTGATGTTGTGAAGATAGAAAGACTTTATACAAATGGCTTTGGTGTGAAAAAATTTAATGAAAACTTATCCCACCTCTTTTCTCCCTTAAACGGGGATAGTTAGCACGTGCATTCGCAAGACTTTCAACCAATATTTTGAAAACTTTATTCAGACTGTGACGATAACAATGTATTCTATACATTTAGTCATTGTAGGTCCATACATAGTAATTAGAAAATAACCATTTATAGTTAGTTACATGTATGCTTTTTAGTAAATAGGTACAGTCAATAATTGACTAATCTTGATCTTTATATTTTCTTTATTTTTACAAAGGAAAACCTTTCTGAGATTTGTTTATCCGGATATGTTTTGTATACAAATTTGCTTAGTTAAGGGAAATGTGTACTCCAACTTGACCTTAATCAGGTTATCCAATTTGATTTCTGTCAAAATTTAAATCTCATACAAAAATATGATGAATCACATCGATTTTAAATCGATCCAAAACGTCAACAAGTCGCTAAATCCAGCTAGAGCCTAAGTGCTGAAACATACGAGGGCTTTTAGTAAATGTTAACATCATGTTTATATGTATGGGGTTAAGAAAACTATTAAATTAGGCATATAAGGTCAGGCTTTAAACCATTTAAATAGATGCACAAATATTGGGATTTGTGATTTTTTGCTTCTACTAATTCAATATACACAAGTGTCCTCGAGGTGATACGAGTGCGGGTTATGTCAACGAAGTAAAGTCGAAAATCAAACCCAAAATGCACATAAACTAAAAGTTAAAGGACAATTGTGCATTTCTATAAAACATATTTTAATATTTTATTTGAATACTATATTGTGATAAATAAAAACGTTCTTTTAGCATCACACTTAAAGTGAAGTGCACCTGTTTAAATACCTTATTTAACCAAGGATTTTAACATTAACTATATGTTCTTTTTATTTTTTATTTTACTATAAAAAAAATTATATTGACTACAATAACTTATATTGACAACAAAATCTTATATTGACAAAAACCCAATAGACAAAACAATGATATTGTTACTCGGCAAAAAACCCAACAACGAAACATTACAAAAGGACAAAAAAAAACTTTTCCTTTCTGTCAGATGTTGCTCCTACCATAATTCTTTGACAAATGATAATTTTGAACAACATTGATTTCATAATAACTTTAAAGGGGTATATGAAGGTGTGGATGGGGGTTTACATAACAGAGAATAATGGGTACAAAATATAAAGAATAGAGAAAAATGGACCAAAAAATAAAGAATAGAGAAAAACATATTAAAAGAATAGAGAATAATTGGCAAAAGTATAAAGAATAGAGAAAAATGGCCTTAAAAATTAAAAATACAGAAATGAAGGACTCCCACAATCCAGACCCTCGTATATTATATGTACACATTAAATGGTGGGAAACGATAACTTAAGTCACATGCACCGTTTCTATTTTTTTTTTTTTTCTTATGTCATCACTTTTTTTATAAGACGATTTACCGGGTTTGTACTAACATGAGCAACACGACAGGTGCCACATGGGGAACAGGATCTGTTTACCCTTCCGGGGTTCTTGTTGCCCTGTCTTTGTTTTTCTATGTTGTGTATTGTGTTTTTTGTACTGTTGTTTGTCTGGTTTTTTTTAGCCATGACGTTGTCGACTTATGAGTTAGAGTGTCCCTTTGGTGTCATTCACCTCTCTTTTACAATTACATTATTTTGTCTATTGGTATTCATAAAACAGATTTAAATATTATAGATACACATAAAGAGGTGACCTATTCCCTAATATTATCTATTTTTTCCAGCCTGGGTCCAATCAAAATTTAACAAAGATTGACAACAACCTGAACGAAAAGAAGGAAGAAATGTCACCCAGAGAGCAGGACAGTGGGTTTGGTGAGAGCCTGGAAAGACGGGGATTGCAAGAAATGAAAGGTGAGCATTTGAGGTTTAGTTGAGACGGGTATTGTTTTTTTAAGATATAGAAAGGATGATTAGACAGAAACTCTTAAATCCGTACAAACATACAAAAAACGTTTTGTTGATAAACAAGTGGAATTATTGTATTCAATAAAAAGAAAGTACTTTTGTCCAGGTTACCCCAGTACATATTGAAGTTTATTTTTTAGACATAAACGTGAAAGTTTCATATTAAAACCTTGGCATTAAGTGGTTAAAAATTATATATTAAAATGACCGGTGGGCAAAAGGTCTATGACAGAACAACCCAACAACCCAAACCAAGTAAACATATAAATGCAGTGCTTATAAAAAGAGGTGTGAGGTGAAACTGAATGAGACAAAAACTTAACTTCACAATAAAATACAAAAGACATTTAGTATTCAACATGTATATACCATATACGGTCACCAATAATAGACCATGCCTATTTAGAAACGAGTATACTGTGTTTTATCTTTGCAATTGTAAGGGTGGTTGAGTTGTTTCAAACAAAGCCAACATTGAATTGAATGTAAGATGCACAGAAACATTATAGAAAAAAAATATGTTATATTAATGATGAATTTCCAGATTACATTTTACAGTTGAATTTGATAAAAAAATACTAAAATATATATCTTTTTGTAGGAGGATTTCATGATGAAACACAGCGGTCGAAAACATCATATTTAGACAGCAGAGGCGTACGGATTCCCTCCCCTTACTTAGATACCTCACTTCCGAACCGATGTTGGAAGAAAAACGACAGGCAGACATATAATCGAACCATAAGTTTCGATGAAGAAGTTTTACGCGAGAGAGAACGAGATAAATCAAATTTGCCTTCTTTTTCAAGTTTTAATTGTCGGTCTATATCCGATTCAGGACAAAATTCAAACTTGTTCACTATATCAGAACAAAAACAACCTTATGGATACCACAGCTTACAAAGGAATCCACCAAACAGTAATAAATCATTGAATTCAAAGTACTCTTTCAGAAATCCACCGCGGAGGGATTTGCCACCGATAAGTGCAACACCTGAACCGGAAGTTATAGAAACTTGTGACTTTGAGCCATATTCATATGGCAACAAACCATACTCGTTAGACAGACATTCTTTTTCAGATAATCATATAAACATTCATTCTGATATTTATTCTCAAAGTCCACGATCAGAAATATATACTCAGAGTCCAAGACCTTATAGTCCGAGGTCAGACATCTATGTGCAAAGTTCAAGATCAGACACATATGTGCCGCTTTCAGGATTAGATACATATGTAGAAAGTCCTAGGTCTGACACATATGCTAATAATTCGAGACTTAATACTCATGCAAACTCCCATGCCAGAGATGGAATCATTTTGGGCAAAATTGACAATAATGATATCGTTGTATAGTTACTATAACAATGAAATTTCAACACAACGAAAATTGTTGAAGAAAAAAAGTGCTACATAAATGTGATATTTTCAAAGCGATGACTGATCTCAGTGACTTTAATGTAATGATACATTTAGTTTAAAAATACCATTGGCAGATCATTTTCTGCGTACATATGTGTTCGTGTGGTTTAGCTTTTTGTTGCTCATTGTTCAGGGAATTTTAACATCTCCTCATTCTTTTTAGAGATTATATTTTCAAAACTAGAAAAAAAATCGATAACAATTTGGATTGATCCCCTTTAAAAATTTCAAAACCCGGCAACAAAGTTAAGTAAATTTCCAGTTTTATATTTATTGACATATTCAATCTTGCCCGATTGACAATACTTGATAGATCTGCTGTCAATCAATCTCAATCAACATAATCTTATACGAGGGGGATACAAGCTATTGTAATGTGGGATATATGGTAAAAAAAAGTATATATGTAGGATAAAGGGGCAAGAAAATTGTGTAATCTGGAAAAAAGAATGAAAAAAAAATAGGAAGTTGGAAAAAAAAAATACAAAAAAGCGGGATTTAGGAAATGAGCACCTCCGTATCACCCCCTCTCATATACTAACATTCTCTTGAGAATTATGAATTGTCAATGGTATTCTTGGACGTAATATTTAGTTTTGTGTGCCAAAGGTTTTATTTGTACTTGAAATTTAGATTTTACTTGTTTTTGTCTTTGTATAGTTTTTGATGGCTGGAAGAATATATGTGTATATTTATATAATACGGTTGCATGGATGAGTGCATGGTTAAACAGAATAAATTCGGGAGTAAATGTGTTTTATGCGTGCGCATGATTTTTAGTTAGGTGATGGGAGAATATTTCTAGCTCATTTTTTAAAGGTACAAATGAAATTAGAAGAAAGATAAAAATGCAGTGCAACTATATTTATATGTGTCGTTTATGGCAGATCTGTAACCTATGCGTCGTATCTCTAATACGGGTAGTTATGAAAAAATCATATTTGGTGGTGTCATGACGCAAGCTAATTTCGCTGCCTTTCATACTCCAGAAATACATTTGACTCTTGTATTTATCAAATAATTCAATGTTTATGTCCTAATGTTTTTTCTTCTTGTTTAATCGTAAGACATAAAAAGGTTTTGTTTTTTTACATGAGTAACAAAAGATTGTTGTGTATGCTTGTTATAGATATTTTTTATAAATTGTTTAATAAATTAAATATTTAAAACTTTTTATGTGTTATTGATCTTTATCTCGATAGACCAGAGGCTACCTCAGAAAGCTTGTGTTCCAGGTAAGCAGTTTTCTGGTAACACACCAAACAACATAACAGCGGGAAAATATACAAATGATATCATTATAAGTATAATAGCAACGAACTAAATTCAGGAAACACACATGTAAATCATTATCGGAGTCATATATACGGTCTTCAAAAATTTTAAAAAGGGGGATTGGTCAATGGCCGAGTGGTCCAAGAAAAAAAAGGAGTTCATGTACATGCACAGCAAAAAACACAAAATGCAAAGGAACAGCGCTTTTATTGCTGTTCTTCATCTCAAAGTCACAGTGAGCCTTCAACACGGAGCAGAAACTTCCACCTCACTGCAATTTTAAGACGTTGTTTCTTTTGCCGGTAAAATTGGTTACTTATGGGAGTTTTTTAGTTGATATTATTTTGAGTGTCTTAATTTGTCTTGGGATTGTCTTGTATTTTGTTGTTTTGTTTTGTGTTTTGTGTTGTTTGATTTTAAAAGAAAAACAAATGATATAGGGTATCTATCCATGACACAATATCAGTTCATGTACAGCAAAAAAAAAAACAAATAATGGAACAGCGATTTTATTGCTGTTCTTCATCTCAAAGTCAAAGTCAGGCCTTCAACACGGAGCAAAAAAAAAAATCTCACCTCACTGCATTTTCGAGTCGGCCCCTAACACCGGTTTGAGCCAAGCTTTCAAATTTCAAGGGAATAAGATATACACCAGTATTAGATCAAGAATTTTCCGGGCCCACATATGAGGGTCTGCATAGGTTTATAGAATAGGGAATAATGTACCAAATCTACAGAAAAATGGACCCTAGAAAATAATGGGGTGCTTGAATTTAAAATTAGAGAATCATGGGTAAAATATAAAGAAGAGCGAAAAAATAACATAAACAAAACACCGAAATGAAGCACCCCATCCAGACCCTAACATTTAAATATATTCCCGAAAAAGAACCCAACGATTTAATGATCGTAAATGGCGCCAACAAATCAATTCCAACAAATTTACAGGACAGGAACTTCAACAAATCTAGAAATTTACAATGAAGTCAGAAGATTCGGAGTAAAAATTATTCTTCTATTCCTAATTTAAAGATTCCGTTCTTTTACATTGTACATTTAAACATGAAAGAAAAACACAGAAAACACAATGTCACTTGTCAGCGGAGTTTGTTTTCTTGTCACTAGGGCGCTCTCTATCACGTCCGCGTCTTTGAAATAAAACGTAGCAACGGTCGCTTGTGACAGTCATTCCCGCCATCGACTGCCTTGGGACATGACGTTGCACGTGGTTCAAAGCATAGTACCTAACCAATTCTGCCATCGGACACGTTGCAAGTCATTGAAAGTATAGTACCTAACCAACTGACCAGTCATAAATTGTGATGTGCATTAGTTGCTTACAGTAGAAATACGACGACTAACAAGTTTCACTGTGTAAACGTGTGGCACTGAGTGCATGCACAGTTTATTCAGCTGAAATATGACAAACGGACGAAAATTTTAGACTGTAAATTACAGCTGCTATTGAGTTAAAGTTTTTTACAAGAGAAATTCGACAAGATTTTATTGTAAACTTATTCTCGATCGCCTGTGTGTATCCTTAGTTACGGACGGTTGCTTACGTACGGTAGATTTTTTGCCATGCCTAGCTTTCATTGTCAACTTGTTAGAGATCGCCTGTGTGCATCTTAAGTTACAATTGAAACACGACAATCTGCCAATACCACAGTCCAACAACAGAAGGAATGATTACCAGTCAAGACAAAGACAATCGGACGCTGCCGACAAAGACGTCTTTTTCAAATAAAGCTTTTGATGTGCACTGTTGTCTTATCTTTTTATCTTTTCAAAGAAAATTTGACCCCCCCCCCAACTCTTCTAACCCCAAAAATAGTTAAAAAAAAAAAACAAAACAAAACAAATAACAAAACAATAAACACTAATCAAATATTAAAACCAAAATAACAAAACAATAAATAAAAATAACAAAAACAATAAAAACAAAATTAAAACACTTAAAAAACAATAAACAAAAAATTAAACAATAAACTGAGAAACAAAAAAAAAAATTATAAAAATAAAAAAAAAAACACAAAACAAACAATGAAACAAAAAAACAAAACAATAAACAAAACAAACACAAACAAAAATATCAAAACACAAATGAACAACTAATAAACAAATTAAGGTTCACACAAAACAAAATAACAAAACAATAAATAAAACAAAACAAAAACAAAACAATAAACAAAACAAAAAACACAAACAAAAACCACAAAAATAATAAATAACAAAATAATAAACAATAAAAACAAAACACAAAACACAAAACAAGCAATGAACCAAAATAGCAAAACAACAAACAAAACACAATTAAAAATAAAATTACAAGAAACAAAACACTAGAAAAAATAACATAATAATTAAAAAATAACAAAACAAAAACCAAATAACAAAACAATAAACCAAACACAATCAAAAATAACAAAACAATGAACCGAACAAAAAATAAAAAAACAATGAAAAAAACATTGCTCAAATAACACAAGTATTAACACAACACAAATGAACAACTAATAAACAAAAAAAATTCACACAAAACAAAAAACAAAACAATCAACACAAAACAACACACAACATAATAAAATAACCCCTCCCCCTAAAAACATACAAATAAATACAAAAACCACCAGCAAAGCGACAATAAGCCGCAATATAATCTATCGGAGCACAAAAAGAAAACAAAAACAAAACAAAAGAACAAATAGAAACAACAACAAAACAATATGAAACAAATAAAATAAATAAAAACAAAAACAAACACCAATTTTAAATCAAAAACCAATATGAATCAAGACAACAAAACCACAGAAAATAGAAGAAAAAACCAAAAGCGATAAAAAAGGATAAAAGCTGTCATGTCCTCCTCCCCAAAACAACACCAATCAAGATAAGATAAAATAAAAGAAGGAAAAGATAACATAACAAAATTACCCCTTCCCCTAAAATACAAACAAAACAAACAAATAGAAAAATAGGAAGAAAAAAAAACAACGTCAAAGCAACAATAAGCCGCAACATAATCTTACGGAACTTTTATTTTTCTCATAAGCTTTCAAATTTCAAGGGAATATGATAAACACCAGTATTAGATAAAGAATTTTCCGAGCCCACATATGAGGGTTTGCATAGATTTACAGAAAAGGGAATAATGGACCAAATCAACAGAAAAATGGACCCTTAAAACATAAGAATAGAGATTAATTGGGTGCTTAAATATTACGAAAAGAGAATAATGGCTGAAATATAAAGAAGAGAGAAAAAAAACATAAACAAAATTAAAGAATACAGAAATGAAGCACCCCAATCCAGACCCTAACATTTAAATATATTCCCGAAAAAGAACCCAACGATTTAATGGTCGTAAATGGCGCCAACAAATCAATTCCAACAAATTTACAGGACAAGAACTTCAACAAATCTAGAAACTTACAATGAAGTCAGAAGATTCGGACTAAAAGTTATTCTTCTATTCCTAGTTTAAAGATTACGTTCTTTTACATTGTACATTAAAAAACACGAAAGAAAAACACAGAAAACACAATGTCACTTGTCAGCGGAGTTTGTTTTCTTGTCACTAGGGCGCTCTCTATCACGTCCGCGTCTTTGAAATAAAACGTAGCAACGGTCGCTTGTGACAGTCATTCCCGCCATCGACTGCCTTGGGACAAGACGTTGCACGTGGTTCAAAGCATAGTACCTAACCAATTCTGCCATCGGACACGTTGCACGTCATTGAAAGTATAGTACCTAACCAACTGACCAGTCATAAATTGTGATGTGCATTAGTTGCTTACAGTAGAAATACGACGACTAACAAGTTTCACTGTGTAAACGTGTGGCACTGAGTGCATGCACAGTTTATTCAGCTGAAATACGACAAACGGACGAGAATTTTAGACTGTAAATTACAGCTGCTATTGAGCAAAAGTTTTTAACAAGAGAAATTTGACAAGATTTTATTGTAAACTTATTCGCGATCGCCTGTGTGCATCCTTAGTTACGGACGGTTGCTTACGTACGGTAGATTTTTTGCCATGCCTAGCTTTCATTGTGAACTTGTTAGAGATCGCCTGTATGCATCTTAAGTTACAATTGAAACACGACAATCTGCTAATGCCACAGTCCAACAACGGAAGGAATGATTACAAGTCAAGACAGAGACAATCGGACGCTGCCGACAAAGACGTCTTTTTCAAATAAAGCTTTGTTGTGCACTGTTGTCTTATCTTTTCAAAAAAAATTTGACCCCCTCCCCCCAAAAGAAAATAAAACAAAAATAACAAATAACAAAACAATAAACAGTAATCTAATATTAAAACAAAAATTACAAAACAAAATAACAAAACAATAAATAAATAAAAATAAAAAAAACAATAAAAACAAGATAAAAACACATAAAAAACAATAAACAAAAAATTAAACATAAAACTGAAAAAAAAAACATTAAAAAAAAAAAAAACACAAAACAAACAATGAAACAAAAAAAACAAAACAATAAACAAAACACAAAACACAAACAAAAATAACAAAACACAAATGAACAACTAATAAACAAATTAAGGTTCACACAAAACAAAATAACAAAACAATAAATAAAACAAAACAATTAACAAAACAAAAAACAAAACAAAACAAAACAAAACAATTAACAAAAATAATAAATGACAAAATAATAAACAATAAAATCAAAACACAAAACAAACAA